CCTTCAATGGTGAAGGCCCTTTCTGCTCTTACAGAGGGCCCAAGTTCAGGTCCCAGACCACATATGATGGCTTGCAACTGTCAGTACCTCCAGTTCCAGGGGATCTGACCTCTAGAGGCACCAGGCACGCACACGTACACATACATACAAGCAGGCAAGACACCCATACATACACAAGTCTTATTTTTTAAGTTACCAATTAACATGTGCTTACTATAGGAAACATGAAAAAAAAAGACGTGTGAAAAGAAGAAAAAGATTCCTTCATAATTCATGGAAAAAAAACTACAGCTGTCATCCACTATTTGAACTTCCTGTGCAGAGATGCACAGACAGACGGTGGCTTCCAGCCTCCACCGGCGAGACCCTGATGCCTACATGTAGCCTGCTTCTTTCTTTACCATGAGCACGGTTCCTCCTCTTCGGCAGGGTCCCTTCTCCAAAAGGGTCAGTGCAGGAGGCTTGTGGGTCAGCAGCACCGTGACTGTCCTGTCCACACGGAAACCATGCGTGCTGTTCACCCTGGGATGAACCTTACGTATCAGGCACACGCTTTCAGTTCTCCAGCTGTAAACATCCTTGGCAGTTGGATGTCCTCAGATTAGCTCCACCAGCCATGCAGGGCTCATGTCCACACACTGCACTTCACAGAACCCCTGACCGCCACCCCACCCCACCCCACCTGTGGCCACCGCTGTCGTGCACCTCTGACAACTTACGAGATCAAACGTGATGCATTCGAATGTCTTTTTCTTACACTCGGTCTTACATACCAAGTGTTATTAAAACAAGCAAAGGCGAAACCATGTGGCACTGTGCTATTACTGTATTTCTCTGGAAGGAAAACACGATCTTCTGTGATAACCAATTACGAAAGGAAAGAAAAACAAATTAACTGGATGAGACACCTGGGCCCTGTAGGCATATTTCCAGGACATTTGCCACCACGGCACACGTAGAGTCTTGTCTTTCTGACCCGTACTTCACACCTGGGTCTCCAATGGCCTGCTAGACCAGTGTTGCATGGGCAAGAGGTACAGACAGGAGGTCAATATCTCTCAGTTAATCTGACCTCAGTCCTATCAAGTCAGGCCTTTCCCCTGTATTTGGGACAACTGTACCCAACTGTCTACCAGAGAGCTTCACCTCGACTGCCCAAGTAATGATATCTAACATGCTCCAGTAAGCCAGGGTTGTGAGTCTGAGCTGCCACTACCCTCTTAGTCAACACAGTATGAGACCACAGAGTATCAGCCCTCAAAAGACTGAAACATTTTCAGATATCTCTCGCTTTTGACTTTTGATTCCTCCAATAATCCAGTCTTGGGTTTTAGGACGTCAGTCATTCCGTAACAACTGAATACGCACCGTGCGATGGGTCTTCTTCTAAGTAGAAGGTAAAGGACCAAGAAACAGAAGAAGCGCTGCTTCCCCGAGCAGCTGCGGAGGAAGGCAGGCAGGCAAAGCAGACAATAAAAAGTAGACAGTGAACTTGGAATCTGGGAGGCTGTGAGGATGCTTGAGGATGCTTGAAGGGGATCATTAGACTTGAGGAGGAGACACCAGCATGGTGACTGGGTCCTTTAGTGTGGTCCAGGGATGTAGCATGGTTGAGAGGCGTTGGGGTGTGGCAGGCAGCAACTGAACAGTTGGCAAGTGTCCTTTGGGTTTCTGTCTCGGTGATAAACACCATGACCACAAGAAACTTGATGATGAAGAAGAAAAAAGACATGAAAGTCGATGTCAGACTGGATACTAAGTGACACGTTGGGAAGAAGGGAGCCATCAATGGGAGGAAAAGAGAGTAATGGGAGACAAATGTGATCGTAATACACTGTATCACATATGGACCTGTCAAACAACAACAACAAAAAGGGCTGGAGAGTTGGCTCAGAGGTTAAGAGTACTGGCTGCTCTCCTAGAGGTCCTGAATTCAGTTCCCAGCAATGGTGGCTCACAACCATCTGTAATGAGATCTGGTGCCTTCTTCTGTCCCGTAGTAATACATGCAGGCAGAGCACTGTATGCATAATAAATAAATAAACAATAAAAAAGGCATCAGGATGCATGCTCAATGCTTCAGCAAAGCAAGTGCTCACTTGAACATACATGAACCCATCTTGTCAGTTCCTCAGTCTTGAACATCTTGCCTCCATTCCTATGAGAAAATAAATTTAAGACACCCAGTTTGTGGCTTTTACTATAGCAACCTGAATTATTTACACACGCGCGCGCACACACACACATATGAAGAGAGAGAGGGAGAGAGAGATGTGTTTGGCATGACCCGTTGGAATCTCAAACCCTATCCCTATGGACACATTTCTTCCAACAAGGCTACACCCAGTCCAAAAAAAAGACACACCTCCTAATCCTCAAACAGTGCCTCTCCCTGGCGACGGAGCAGTCAAACGTATGAGCCCATGTGGGCCACCCTTATCCAATGCAGTGGCATCTTGTTACACCAGTGGACTTGGAGTGGTGATGGAACCTTAGGGCATGGCTTCATGTGTTCAGATGTGACGGCTTACAAGGAAGAGGGGCCGGGTCATGCTCTCTTGGGTTGTGGTTGGAGCATCCTGGAGGGCAGAGACTGCATCTTGAGGAGCAGGAAGACGGAGGAGGTTATTTATTTACCATTATTGTGTGACTATTCCCCTAAGTTGATCCCTTGTCTCGGTATTTGTGGGCTCCTTTAAACCCAACTTCCCTTGGTGTCCATGTGACCTGATTCTCACAATCAGCCCTAAGGATGGCTGGCTGTGGCATCCGAGGGCCAGTGTGCTTGTCATAAGAGCACATTCCTGAGGCTGCTGTCTAAAGAAAAGAGAAACTTGGATGGGAAGAGCAACTAAGAAGTTCACTGCCGGTTTCCAAAGGACTGCAGCACTGTGTGAGCTACTACCTCTAGCTACAATAACTTACTTCAGCTACATTGTGTTAATAACACTCACCTACACTGGGCTCTATTACAAAGCATCCCTTTTCCTTCTCATGCTAACCTGGCTGTTTTACTTTTTGCTTTGTGTAGAAATGACACAGACCTTTGTAAATGACAAAAACAAGTGGCAGGTAATATATGTCTCATTTGAGACTGTGGTCATCCCATGGTCCTAACTTTATATTGTCCTTTGCCCAAGGGCCCTTTGATGGCCTTATAATCGCTGGCATTTAAAATGTACAACCCAAACTCACTGACCTAATCTCAAAGTATGTTTTTTTTTTCCTCTTTAAAAGTTTTGTCTTTATTTTTGCTTTGCTTTTTTTTTTTTAAAAAAAAAATCTCTTATTTATCTTTTAATTTTTACAAGCTGACCAGTTTCCCCTCCCTTCTCGACTCCTTCCCCCCACCCACTCCTTCTCCATCTCCATTTACATGGGGTAAGGCCTCCCGTGGCAATCAGCATGGCATAGCAAGTTGAGGCAGGGCCAAGCTCCACCGCCCTGCATCAAGGCTGAACCATAGGGGTTAGGTTAAGGAGCCAGCTCATCCTTCAGGAACTGGTCCTGCTCCCACTGCTAGGGGCCCCACAAAAGACCAAGCTACACAACTGTCACCCAGAGGCGGAGCTCCCTAGCTGTGGTGCAGAGGCCGTGAGCTCCCACGGGCTCAGGTCAGCTGTCTCTGCGGGATTCCCCACCGTCTTGACCTCCCTTGCTCACACAATTCCTCTACTCTCTTCAGCTGGACCCCTGATCTCTGAACCTGCTTCCATCTGGTACTAGATAAGGGCTCTATGATGACAACTAGGGCAATCATCAATCTGATTACAGGGGAAGGCCAGTTCAGGCACCCTCTCCACTATGTTTCCAAGGGAGAGCAATTTAGCCTTTTGAACCAGTGACATAGTTCTCAAGTTGAAGTTGTTAAGATTATTCACAAGTACCTTTTGTTTCAGCTACATTCCAATGTTTTAAGTAAATATTTGTTACTTTAAAGGGTATGGGACCTATTCACAAAGACTTTTCAGACAACCAGGGATAGCAAGTATAAACTTAAAAAAAGGAATCGCAAGCTCATTCCACTCATGTGAGACATAGCTCTTAAATGGAATGTGACTTCTGAGAGCTGCAGAGGACAGAGAGAATAGGGAAAGCAAAGGGGATCCAACATCTGAGGAGAGTTACTCTTGTCACGGAAAGCTCATTATTACTCAGGAGTAAATGTATTATAAAAGTAAAAAATGCAGCCTCTAAACATAAATAATAGTAGTTTACCTAAGAAGCAGACATTATCAGCCATTTAGAGCTTTAACTATAATCTGAAGCGTATGCTGTTTCCTTTAACTATAATCTGAGTTCCCTTTTAAGCAGGCACGCAGTACTTTAACATAGTGCGTTTGCAAAGATTACTGTGGTCAAATGGTACTGAGTAATTTAACAGCTTGTTCCTTTTGGGTTTTCACAAAGCCTACAACAATTTAACACGAATAAGCAGACTAATCTATTATTTTCTTTTCCATCTCCAAGGGTAAGTAAACACATTTTTAGTACTTGGTGGAAAAATGTCCCGAGTCAGATCATATCCATGTATTCTGTCAAAAAAAAAAAAAAAACCTTAATTTTAGTATACTGATAAAAAGCATTTCCTTGTGAGATCAAAGGTTAACAAGAGTCGGTGCATATAATGACTTCTGTTAGCAGGACTTTAAACAACTGCACTATGTATTTTAAGACACTGACACCATTTTAGATTATAAATGAAAACGTCACTCTATTTCTCCAGGAGGGTTCTCACAGATTTTAGAAAGCTTACACAGTCCAATGGCAACTGGGATTACAATGGGCATTAAGAATAATATGCAAACAGTGGAAACAGAAGACACACAAGTTCACACTATCGAGATGAATCAAGGCATTTCCACAACTGTACAGAGCTGAAACAGGCATAAACATTTCACAAGGCTGGCTCACAGACGCCAGAAAACTTCTGCAATAACAGTTAAGGTACTATATCATTTTTTTCTGGCTAATTCCACTTACCAAAGAAAACTCAACTGTTGAACTTGGCACAAAAGAGTTTAATTATCATAAAGTGCATCAGTTGGCTAAATACATTACAAACAAAATCAGCCATAATACAGCATAACAACATCTTCACATACACAGAAATACAAAGGGAACACCAGGAGCCAAGCTACTTGGGAAATTTGCAGTATATACGGTTATTTATTTTGTTTTCTATTCCTGTAACTCACTTGCCTCAAAACTGTAATATATTTTGAAAAGAATATGCCTTGATTAGCGAAGAGAGGTAGTGTTCTGAACGAGGCAATCCCCATTGAATCTATGGGTGGAGAATTGAGTTGAAGGTTATGCAGAAAATATCCAAGTGTAAGATATTAATAAATCAGGACACTTACAGTATCTTGACATTAATTAACCATCACTTAAATCAAGGCTATTTTATCGCTTTGCCTATCTAATTATATAGCTCTCCACAACACATTATCTTTGGCTGTACAAAGTCGTCTTCTTTTACACAGTACTAACCTTTCAAATAAGCAATTTTTACTTAGAGATGATAAGACATAGCAACGTTTCAAACTGGATTCATCTTTATCTTCCTTATGGTGTTCACAGATTTAAACCTATGTCATGTACGAGATACAAATGTTATCCAGATTCTAGCATGCAATTAGTTTCCACCTAATATAACTGGTGATTTAAGACAGGCACGCACACATGCACGCACGCGCGCGCACACACACACACATACACACACACACAGAGTAGTTTGGTGCAATATACAGGCAAGACACTGTAATAATTTATGTAAAGTATTTAAGAATATGGGCCCTGATAACAAGTCTAACTAGTTTTTTTTTTTGTTTTGTTTTGTTTTTTTTGTTTTTCCCAGTATAGTAAATACAATGCTGGATAAAAGACAGTTAAAAGCAGCAGTGAATATAGTTCTTATTCTAATAACTTAAGAAACACTTTATGTAAACTTTATACACGCGCATTTTGCTCTCTTCTGTTTCAGTCTTTTTGAGTGGTGTCTGCCACTCCGCTGCAAATCTGCCGAGATGCCGAAGTGGAAGGGACTGTCCCAGTGTGTTAGTCATCTTCAACATTATACGCCAACTGTGCAACTTCTACATCTGCTACCACACTTCTAGCTTCTCTCGAGTGGAAGTGTGGCTTAGTATTAGCTCTGTAAAGAAAGGGGATCACGTCAGTGAAGGAGACAGACACGTGCTCTCAGTTTCTTGTTATTTTCTCACAGAAAGGTTACTCATACGTTTATTAAGTGATTACATATTCAACCACAAATTATTTGCCTATGCACGCCCATGTATGTATATACATGTTTATGGTGATCACAGGTCAACTTTTGGTGTCATTCCTTAGATGCTATCCACTTAAAAGCTACATTAATTTATTTAGATCGTGTGTGTGTGTGTGTGTGTGTGCGCGTGCGTGCGTGTGAAGGCAGAGGAAAACTTAAGGGAGTAGGTTCTCCTTCTGTTGAGGTGGGACTCAGGATCTGGATGCCAGTTGTCCGGCTTGACAGCAAACACCTTTACTCAATGAGCCACCACACTGGCCTGGAGTGTGAGTCACGATATAGTAATTAATACAAAGTTCATAAAGAATACTGTTCGGACTTAAATGAGTAGGCTGTAGTAAGGTAAACATTATTGGGCTGCATAGTTCTATGTCGACTCGACACAGACTGAAGTCATCAGGGAGGAGGCGGCGCCTCAATGAAGAAGAGGCCTCCATAAGATCAGGCTTAGGCAAACCCATAGGACACTTTCTTAATTAGTGATCGAAGGGAAGTGCCCAGCCCAGTGTGGGTGGTGTCTCCTCTGGGCTGGTGGTCCTGGGTTCTGTAAGGAAGCAGGCTGAGCAAGCCCGAGGAAGTACGCCTTTAGTAAGCAGCACCCTCCGTGGCCTCTGGGTCAGCTCCTGCGCCGACCTCCTTCAGGGATGAACAGCAAAGTGGAAGTGTGAGCCAAACAAACCCTTTCCTCCCCAACTTGTATTTTGGTCATGGTGTTTCACCACAGTCACGGCAACCGTACGGCAAAATTATACCTAGAGTCTTCATCCAAGATGTCCCGGGTGACCTGAAGTGCAGAGGATTCCACCCTTAGGATCTGTCCACCTTCTGCTCCTGGCATGTAGAGTGACACTTCGGGGTCTAAGGACAATGCTCTGAAAGTAAGGTACAACACACACAGAGTTACTTCTTCTGAGTAAGAGGGTGCCCCCACTGCCACGGAAACTGGCAGCACTCTTAGTCAACGGCTGCTAAGTCTACGCAGACAAGTGGCTGTTAAACCGCTGAGGACTCGACAGTGACATCGCCAGCTGTAATAATTTCCAATCTTCCCCGCACGTGCTCAGTAAATACCAATGCGGAGATGGGGAGGCAAACTCTGGCTTTCATAGTCAGAAGTTACCGCATCCTGCTATGTGGGCGGTGACGTGAAGACACTTAACTTTTTCAGCAGCTAGAGCTCTATTTGCCTTCCTGAGGTTTCTCACCCTTAAACATTCAGCCACCCATACCCAATCTGTTTAAGGAAGTAGACCAGGAGCCCAGTTCCCTAAGCCACATTCAGACAGGCGGAAAGGACAGAGCCTGGAGGTGGGGAGTCAGGCAGAGGGGTCGGGACCCACCGCATCCTGTTCTCTAGCGCCTCTATGTGGAGCTGCTTCTCCCCGAGTAATTTCTTCAGCGACTCCACCTCTTTCTGCTTCTCCAGAAGTTCCCTCTGCAGATGGTAGTTAGTCTCTTCCAGAGTCTCACAGAACGCCTTCACAGAGAACAGGCAGGCAAACACAAAATTAAGCACCGAAGCGGTCCTTTCTCAAAGACACCCTCAAGAGTCAGGAACACAGACCAAACAGTTTGTTCTTCAGGCTCATCGTCTTACATTACTGCGATCTTGGCACGCAGTCCCCGCGCATGGGGCACCTGTAAATTCTCTTCCTTGAGAAGAGCTACAGTAGCAAACCCTGAATGTGATGGATAACTACAGATAAAGTGATGGAAGTAAAGAATAGTACTACATGGCTTTATTTTTAAAGTTATAAAAGCTGTCAGTTTCTATTAAAAATGCATAACTGCCTTTCCCCAGAACAGGTGATCTGAATAAACTATGGTCATTTATTTAAAAAAAAATAGACAGTTATTATACTCTGATGAAATAAAGGAATTATCAGTCAAATTAAGTCTTACAGGCAAGTTCTAAGAAGACAGAAGTAACAAAGCCATTAACAGTATTTAAGTAGCTCTAGAGAACAGAAAAAAAGGAACAAATGCTGAGCTTAGAAAGTCAGCTGGTAACCAAGAAACTCAGCCTAAAATCAAAAAGCAAGTAATACTATAGATGAACGATGACAGGAAGTCACAGAAAACACGGCCAATGTGTCAACTGACCGAACAAATGCTGGGAAGCTAAGAGTAAAAGACACAGTACCAGGTCATGCCATGTCTACAAATAAGCTTCCTATAAACCCTTGAGTATCTTCCAGGATGAGAAACTATCTCCACGAGGGACCATTATCTCAGGAAAGATGTCCCTGGAGACTACGCTTTCAGAGTAACCATTAGAAAAACACGATGATGGAGCTATTTACCTATTAATGAGACCTCAAAATGGTTTGTGTTCTTAGAAGACAACCAAACCAAAACTGCTCCGAGTGACTTGTAACATCAAATGATGATGGATGTGATGTCTGCAATCTTCGGTGACCAGCAGCAGCTTCTAGAAAACGTCCTATAGCTCAAGGGCCTTTTTCACTTGACTTTCTGGTCTTCTCAAATTTGGAAACAAGAAAAATCTAAGTTCCTAAGCTGCAGAATACCCAAGCGGGGGGCAGAGAGTCTAAGGATTTAGGCTTTAATTATCTCGGTTGCTGAGAGTGGGCGGCACCCAGCCCTGGTGCATTCGCGTGTGTAGGGTTACTGGTACACGCCACCGTGCCCTACCTTCATCGCTCATTTCCAATCATAATCTGTTATGCCAGTACACCTCAACCTCATTCTAGTCCACCCATGTCATTTCCACGGAGGTATAGCTCTGCCAGTCTTAGCTTCTGCTTTACTACAGGCACTTGGAGGCATAGAAAAGTCCCCTTTCGATAGGGTGCAAGTAAGCTGGGTATGGTAGCTCATGCCTTGGGACAGAGGCAGGCGGATCTCTGTGAGTTCAAAGACAGCCTGGTCTACAAAGCGAGTTTTAGGACTTCTAGGGCTACACAGAGAAGCATTGCCTCAAAAAACAAAAACCAACCAAACAAATAAATGATAGGGTACAGGTTGAAAAAGCAGAAACAAGACTCACTGAATGAACTGAGTCTCATCTTTTGAATAATTTCAACTTAAATTGGTTTATTACTGTCGTTTTACACATTTTCTTAACTAAGACACTGCTGAAGGAGTCTACTAGCCAATGTTGTAAGCCACTGTCATTGTCTTTTGTTTTGAAATAGATGAGCCAGTGGGAACTTCTTCAAGTTTTGTATCTAAACAAATACTCATTTTCAAATATAGTTTTATGAAACTAACTTCATTTTGCAGAAAAATTTTACGGTTCACATTGCCTTGTTGAATGTATACGCTTAATATAGCTTTGGTGACTTTTCCAACTAGTTTTCCCAACAAATTTGGCAATGAACTGGTGAGCTCCTAGTCCCCAGTGCAATAGTGTGGGGCTTCAGAAATCTCAACTTAAACCAACCCCACTCTTTCCCAACTCAGCTAGTGCATGCTTTGAATTAAAAGTATTTAAAAGATTTTGTTTTTATAAAAAGGAAAAATGTAAAAAAAATTTAAGAACAGCCTTGCAGGAAGGCAGAACACTCTCTCTGAAAGGAATAGAAATCATAAGCTCTATGAAATGAAAAAGTACCAATGCCAACTGTTTTGTAACACAATATATCCACCAAAAATGGAACTTTAACTTTCCAAACACATTTTGGTCAAAATAACCAAAGGAGCCCAAATCCAGTGACTACATATGCTGCAGAGAGAAAATATCATAGTTATTAATTGAGGACACCAATACCAACCATCTATAGAGCAGAAACCAGATCAAGGTTGCTAAATTAATCTCCTGAAGTGTCTAGTACTCAACAAAACAATAGAAAACAAACAGACAAAACAAAACAAGAAAACTACCCAAGCACAATCAGGAAAAACAACAGCTAATAGAAGCTATCTCTAAGACCTCAAATAATGATATACACAACAGATGATTTTTTGAAGCATCTTGTATATTAAATGTACTAAAACCAAAAAAACCTGATCTACAAGGATGAACCCAACTAATAATCTAAGCAATAGTGGAGAAGCTACCTTAAATGCCTTTTCCATATAATGAGATTGATGACTACCTTAAATGCCATCCTAGAACCTTCATCCAGCAGCTGATGGAAGCAGAAGCAGACACTCACAGCTGAACACTGAGCCAAACTCCTGGAATCCAGTTGCAGAGAGGGAGGAGTGATGAGCAAAGGGGTCAAGACCAGGCTACAGAAACCCACAGAGACAGCTGACCTGAGCAAGGGGGAGCTCATGGACCATAGACTGATAGCTGGGAAACCAGCATGGGACCTACTCAAACCCCCTGAATGTGGGTCTCAGTTAGGAGGACTAGGCAGACTATGGGACCTCTGGTAGTGGATCAGTATTTATTCCTAGTATATGAATGGATTTTGGGAGCTCATTCCACATAGAGGGATACTCTCTCAGCCTAGTAAAGTTGGGGATGGTGGGGGGGGGGGAGACCTAGGCCCTGTCCCAAATGATATTACAGACTTTGAAGAACCCCATGGAAGGCCTCACCCTCCCTGAGGAGCAGAAAGGGGATGTACAAAGTTTAGAAGTGAACATTTACAAGACTGATGTATTGTGTTTTTAAAGTAGATATTAAAAACAAAACCTAAAAAGAAAAAGTATATTTATTTTTCTGTGAATAGTGAATCTGAATATAAGAATGAAAAATATAAATAGAAGAAATGAAAATTCAGGAATGGAAAAATACAAGGCCTAATTAAAAAAAAAAAAAATCAGTAAGAGATACTCAATGGCAGATGTAACAAGACAGAATTGTGAACCCGAGTTCAAAGACAAACCAATAGAAATAATCCAATCTCGCAAACAAAGACAGAAATGAGGTAACTGGAAACTACTTGAGGAGATAACGGTCCCCTGAAGAAGCCTCATGTGAGGTAAAGCAGCAGCCTCCAGGCCCAGCAAGCTCCGTGAAGAGTGTGACAGACAGAGGCCGTGTGCGGGTTACTAGAAGTCAAAGGCAGAGACGCTCCAAAGGGAGCAGAAGAACCCATCGTAGAAAGGGAATGGCAATAACACCAAAGGCTTTTCACTGAGACAGAGAAGGCAGGAATGAGCCATCCAGGGGCTGGAAGAAAGACAATCTGGGGGATAAAGGAAGTATATTATGTTAAATGCTGGTGAGGGAATGAGGAACAGACTACTCAGGTAAAACCGTCCATTAGTTTAGAAAAGTGTCTTTTAAGTTAGGCATTAGGGTGCTTTACAAGGAAACAACTGCTTTCTCAATGAACGACTCAGGAAAAAAGGATAGCATACATGCAGTAGGGTTTAGAAAAAGCTGCCCACGTGTGACTTAGGACGACACAAGCCTGCAAACACTGTTAAGTATCAATCAGCTGGGGATGGAGGAAACGCAGGCTGGTGCACGACGGACTAAAAAAAAAAAAAAAAACGACAGAGGCATAAAAACTGATGAGAGAAGGCATAAAATGGAATGTCCTGTACACGCGCTAACTGAAGGAAGGCAGAAAAGATTGAAACATGTGAACTCTACCATCACATCATATACAGGGAAGATTATGCACACCATGTGGACTATAGGTATAAACACACCTACGTTATTGCATGAACATATATAAATATATATATGAAACAACAGAAAAGGCAAAGTCATAGGGAACAGCAGGAGATTATGGGGCTGGAGTGAAGACTAAAATGTTTTGAGGTAGGGTGAACACTCTAAAATTGGTTTATGGTGGTGATACCACAGTGGTATAAATACTAAAAACTACTAAGCTATATATTTAACGATGAAATGACAAAATAATGAACGAATAAAGCTTTTGAGAGTTTTACTTCAATAAAGCTGTTTTTAAAAAGCTATATCATTTATTCCAGCACAAAGAAGGGCTACAGGTTAGCTGCCCCAAACTACAAACCCACCAATTAAAACTATTTCATTTAAATGGCAGTAAACATTTAGAAATTTAAATTCCAGCTAATCTCTTATTACTAAATCTGTTTTGTGAATCTAACCTTTTGCTTCAAGAAACGGGCCACTTTAAACTGTCAATTATTGCAATTTGAGTACCATGAAGCAAGAGCTGAATTGCTAGCAAGACCTTCCTGTCTACCTCTGAAGATCAATTTGAACCCAACAGTAGGTTCCTTACTTGGGTTCCTCAGAAAAGGAATGATCGTAATAAAATCATACTACAAAATGAAGTAAATTCCTGTAGCATTTTATTAATTTCTTTGAAGTAGGGAAAATAAAATGGAAAGAATTTAATTTTAGATTTTTATTCATTACATGCCATATATGAATTCTTATCTTTTCAGACCATGTATTTCAATGAAAGAAACCTTTGATTCAAACACTGAAAGCTGTCTCTATGAAAACCACTGTGGTTTGAACTGGTAATATTTTGCTGTTTGCTAATCCGTCCTAGAAACAACGTAGTGATTGCACTGTATTATTTATTTCTCTTTCACGTGACAGATAATACAGCACTTACCCTGCTTTCTTCTAGGCTATCAAATGGACCTGGTGGATCGTCCAGACAAAGAAATTCTCTCACTGCAAGGCTTTTCAAAGGTAAAAAAATTAGCCGGTATACAAACAAGTTTACGAAAGACAAGCAGAAAGCAAAAGGCACATTGAAGCTATACAGTGTGTAAGGCAAGCCATTTGTAGACAATTATTAAAAAAAAAACAATTTATGTACGTGTCTTCATGCAAGTAGCCACATGCAAGTATCAAACTACAAGAGCTACAAAGGTATTATGCTATTCATAGGATCTTACAAATGTAAATAAAAATCACAAGTTTACAGATATACACAAACCGTAAGACACAGTGAACACAATTCAGAATAATGACAGAGGGCAGCAACCTGTGTAGTGACCTCAGTCTGACTTGGAGAGAAGCATCACTACCAACAGCTATCACCTTGCTATGAAGGAAAACAATTCTTACACATACTCTCCTCCATGGAGTGCTTCCAAAGTCTGAAAAGCCTTTACTTGGAAAAATTTTAAGGACCAACCTTGCTGTGTTCATTGATTCATTGATTTATATACACATTTCCCCCAGATGTTCAGAGAAAAAAAAAAAAAATTCTGAACATGTCTTAATTACTAAAAGTTTTCTATAATGAAGTATATTATTCCCAGGGGTATAATTTCTATCAGCAGTGGGTTAAGGAGGTGGATCAGCAACTTCCTCACAACAAAATCCTCTCCCCAATCCAACAGCAATTCTGGGCCCCGAGAGATAACTTGACATGCATGTGCAACTTGCATTTTTGTATTTGTGAAATACAGGAACATGACTCGTTGACATACTACATAAAGGAGATGCCACCCTGCATTGAAGAGACTGAGGTTTGGGGTCACATTGGTCCCAGGAGGTTTATGATGACAAGACTGGGTAATTATGAAGAGATAAACTGTTTATTAAATGAGAACTTTTCAAAAAGAAAAATAGGAGTACTAAAAGGTATTAGTAAGAAAAGAACACAAAGTCCAAAGACAGAGCAGAGAAGCCGATGGGAAGCAAACAAGCAAATTCTACACTGTTCAAGCTTTACAATACAGGTGGGGTGGAGAAGAGACGCAAGTCCATGATCATGGAAGGTCTTCGGTGTGACACAGATCCACCCGCTACGCTTTTGTCCTCTGGAAGCTTCCAGCAACAACAGTGGTGTCCACTACTTCTTTTTCCCTGGAACTACCCTGTGGGTCAATCAGTTACTTCCTTTGCTAGGTGCTAGCTTGTCTCCCCATGGCTTATGAGTCTTCATTCAGCTCTTGACCATTGGGGTGATCCCATGTCTTTTACTTGACAATACCAAGCGTTAAGGACGTTACCCTACTTCCTCCAATGCGTCAGCCCCCAGAGCAACACCAATACACTGAGGCCGCATCACGCACTGCTTTCACACTCACGGCAGATCTGAAAGGCAAGGCACTTACTTCTCCATCGCAGAAAGGGTATCAAAGTCTACACAGAGAAATGACTTTTACTGTGTCACACAGTGCAAGTGGCAGAGATGTCTTCTGTCTCCAGAGTGCACATCTGTGTTCCTGTCTATGTGGGAATCATTTTGTCTTATGTCAGCTCCTTCTTTGTAGGACCCTACTCTCTGAACACACTCGACATGTCTGAGTGACTATCAAGTTCCGGCTGTTACAACAGCGTAAAGTAGAACAGGGTGATCGGTCTTCTGGTGTGGGAATTCTAACTCCACCCACTCACTCTTTATGAAGCACCTACATTAGATAGAAGTGAGCACAGGAAAGAAACTTCTATTGCGCACAAAAATCTAAAAGTCAGGAATTGAGAAGCAAGGGAAGATTTCGCTCCCGTCCCACGGCAGACGATCTGGTAGTGCGTGTGGCGGAGATGTGCTGTCCATTCCCTCTCAAGGGAAAGAAGTTTGCTGTCAGTACCTGTCAGCACTGCCTTTACCTCCAGGGACACCTGTACTGCAACTTGAATCTCTCTTTGATTCTCTTAAAAAAAAAAAAAAAAAAAAAAAAGTGTTCTCTAAGAGTCACAATGTACTTTAAAACCCTGTTCCTAGTAAACTACCCCATTATTAAACTGTCACCTTGTTATTTCTTCTTTTCATAGTAATATATTTCTTTAGACTTCACCAGTTTTTGAAAAACCAGCAGTTTAGTAGCTAAATGGACTTCATATTTCACTTTGCATTTTAAAAGAAAAAACAACCATGAAAACAAACTGAGGCCTAAACTCATTGAAAAGGCCAAATAAATGCGAGTGAAGAGCCCAGTGCAGTAGCACACGCCTGCACTTGGGAGCTGTGGCAGGAGGATTTAAGTTCCAGGGTAGTCTGGCCTGTATAGCAGGGCCTTGCCTCCTAAAAGATCAAATAAAAGTATACTAAAAATAGTAATACCAAATTTGATACAGAAGCCATTACATAAAAATACTAAGAGGAACTTCAGATAAGACGACAGACACAAGATATGGGGGGTGGGGGGGAACCACATTGCCCGAGAACAGTGGGTGTGGTTGTGAGGCTTGTCAAGGACGGATCTCCTTCCCCTGAGCACTTTTAGCCCAGTAGAGGCTCTACCAACCCTTCTGGTCCTTTCTGACCCTGCGTATTTCCCACCCACAGCTCCTCTCAGAGCTGGCATGAACACTATCTACACTAGCGCCCATCTTCCTGCACGACACTCCAGCAGCCTTGTGTCTACAGCTGTGTCTCATGCCTCTGCTCGTGCTGGCTGCTGCCCTGGACCAGTCTTCCTACCTCTGGTGCTTCCCGGTTCAGCTTGTCTGTTATGACCCACGAGAGCTCCTCACTACCTACCTCCCCTCTCCTCTGCTAAGTCCAGGGTTAGTGCTTGAAAGCTCCTGTTGACAGGACGTCTTACGATGTAAATAGCAGATTAAAGAATTTAGGAGGAGAAAATACTGGAAACCGCCCGTGAAAATACTTGTAAAATCCTGTTATGGTGGAGGACACCGCATAAAGCAGCCGTGTTTTAACTATAGAGAGTGTGCAAGTAACTAGAGGCCACTTTTGACCAACCAAATACCATGCTGTCTCCAGCATGTGACCCGTAGGCTTTACTTCTCCAGTTTGATTAGAAAATCCTCTTCCTTCTGGTAAAGCCTCCTTCTCCACCCTCTCAAATATCACCGACTCTTTAGAGACCACCTCAAATGCCATCCAGTCATAAGTTCTGACATTTCCTTGGCTAAAAGAAGCATTTCTTTCCATTTTCGCTTCTGAGGGCACATTTTCTCACTCATACCAGCACCCACCTCATCTGTGCTTTCACATAATAAGCTCTAAATAAAAATGTAAAATTTCTAATAAATAGTGTTCTCACGGAAAAAGTGCTTATTTTCAATCTGTTTTCCCTTTGTGCTTTATAAATAGACCTGAAAACAATACTGTCAGTACTCTAAGCTAAGATTTCTTAATTTCCTTCCATCTTTCCTCCACTTTTGCCTTGTCACGGTTGGAACAATTCTAACGGGTGCCGGCTGTTCGATGACAACAGCTGTGTGGTATGGGCACTGGCTATCACTAAGTGCACATAGTCTATCAGAAGGGACAGTGAAGACCAACGCAACACACGGACCATTATTTGTACGTGAAGATACACTCATTTTTATCGTTCTGATGTTTTGCTGTGTGTGCGAGTTTGTCCGCGTGTCTGTCTGTCTGCACTACATGATCACAGTGCTCTCGGCAAAGAGAAAAGGGCGTCAGACCCTCCTGGAGCTGGAGTTACAAATGTTTGTTAGCTGCCCGCTGGGTGCTGGAATCTGGAAGAGCAGTCAGTGCTGTTAACCCGTGAGCCAACACTCCGGCACCCCAGACAGACACATAGGGTCTCGTGTGAAGGCCAGGCTGGCCTGGAAGCTGAGGTCCTCCTGCCTCACTTCCTGTGTCTCACCACATGATGGACCACCACACATTTCTCTGTAGTGACCTGGAAGTGCAGTTCCATAAAGAAGTGTACAAATGTTGTCCGTTCTTTTCTACCCTGGCGGGCACTGGCTCTGCTCTCTTTCCCGCATTAAAAAAGTGAAAGACTCTTCTACCGAGTTCTTCTTCCCTATACTATGTGACGTGAGGTAGGAGAGACCATGGAGATCCAGTACACAGAATACAACAAGAACATGGCCACCGACAGCAGAATGCTGCAAATATTCAGCCTCAGACCGACTGAGAAGCAGATCACAGAAGAAACGGTCCTGAAGGTAGAGAGACAACGCAATCATAAAGCAGGGAGCTAGCTAGCTACTCCGCCCGTTTTAAGCAGACACGTTTCAAACCAGCGAAGGGCTCCTACATACACTATGAGGAAGGAGAGAACTTGTTTTTCGTGGTGGAAAGGCAAGGAAGGGTCTAGTCAAGAAGGCCAGTTACCTAAGAAGTGGAGTCTGTGTTGAGATTTTGAGGATGTACAGGAGTTATAGTGGAGTAGTAGTTTGAAATACTGGCCTTCCAGGAAGCAATATACTTGAAGACCAAGGTGCATGATAATGTAAGACAAAAGATGGATATGGTAGATGCACAGAGAACGGAGGAATGGAGAAATAGCAAACCCACGGCTGGAAAGACAGTCTTGAGTCGGCTGGGACCAGAATGATCTCATCAAATTGCATCACAAAAACATCAGAGGCTTCAGTGAGTTAGAGAAGGCAGAGTGAGGAGAGGAAGACACGCAGGATAGACCACAGTAACCAGAGACCTGTCGCACTGCGATGTAGACAGCAGCAGCACAGAACAAGTAGACAAGATTCAGGGAAGAGATTACGGTAGTGAAGGACGTGTGAAAAATGATTTGCGGGTCTGGGTAGACAACGGTTCTGGAAAGTGGGGGAAAACTGTGTGAAGACTATTCTTCAAGCTGAGGCAGCACACAGCAGAGGCTCGTGTAGAGTACGCAGGTCTCATGCAGAGTTGAAGGAGATAGGCAAAGACGGAATGGACAAAGGCAAAGGGAGATGGGTGGATTCTTGGTTACTTTCCATCATTATCTTAAAAACTGCAAACAGTTCAGGTGTGTACCATATGCTACTGTTCACCGTGAATGCTCTCTCTAGTTTTTCAAAACAGTTCTAACTTTTCTGATAATGTAAATCCTTAAATTAATTCATTAAGGGATTTCCTTACATTCAGAAGCAAAAATAATAATTCTTGATCCTTTTTATACAATGTTCAATGTTTCTAGAAATTTTACTTTGCTACATGAATTAAGCTAACTTCCTAATTTTTATATGACTTTGAAGAGATATAAAGATATTAGCCTTAAAATTATTGTTACACTAACCAAAAGTTGAACAGTATGTTAGCTATTTTTCATAAATGATTGCTAAAATGCTGGATACTAAAATCAATTTTATAGCTGGGTAGGGTGAGGACACTGTACACTGAATTTCCGCTTCATGTTTAAAGCTTTAACACAAATGAAATGCTAAATAAAATCCTCAACTGAAAGAAAGTAAGGAAACTCCATGCAGAGATTTATTTGAGAGAAGTAATTAAATTCCCACCCTCCATTATGTCCTGATATGAAGTTGGTCCTAAATTTATTCTTCAGTTTAAACTGGTTTGTGAAATGATTTCATAATCTCTTATTTCAATTTGTTACATACCAGTTAGCAATGTCCTTGTGAGCTACTAAGTTTTGAAGAAAGGCTTGTAATCCTAATTGTCTATCTTCTAGAAAGTCCGCGTTGTAATTATCTTTAAACCAGCGTTTTGGAGGGAGTGCTAATCGAAAGCCTGGAAACATCTCTTTTAACTGAAGAAAAAAAAAAAAAAAAAGAAAAGAAAAAAAGAGAGGAATCGTTGGACTCAATTACATGAACTGAGTGCTGTTCTATACCATTGACTATGTGAAATTTTCACCAAATAAGCTTAAGCTAATTAACCCAGCTGAACCCTTCTCTGCAATTGCTCCTTGATGCCCCCCAGAGCTGTGTTAGTCATCCTGCTATAAGGAATGAGGACCAATGCAGCTGCAATTTGCATTTCTGATTTCACACATACGACACAACTGGCTGTTTGTGTGTCTTCTCTGGGGCATTATCTATTCAACCATGGACCGGCCACTGATCCACCCGTAAGGACTTGGCTGTAGCTTTGAAGACGGAGGGATCACACACAAGGAAGGGCCCATGCCCTAGGCATGATTGATCTCCAGCTGACAGGCAGCAACCAAACAAACGCCTTGTTCCTACAACGTCAAAAAACTAAACTCTGACCAAAACCTGAATGGGCTTGGAAGCCGATTCTTCCCCAGGGACACCAGATAAGAGTCCAGTCGGGCCAACAGACTGACTATGAGCTCGTCTGGCCCTAGAAAGCATGTAAAACCTTATCCCAAGCCACTATTAAGAACAGTTTTAATAGTGTGGGCAGCAATAAAGCTAATACTAATAATATTACATATTTTTGTTCACCTCCCTTTAATTACAGGTGATGTTAAGTAGATTTTCCTCAAACTTTTTAAGTTATATCATCATATATGAAATACTAAGCATTTCATATTTATATCAGAACAATTTTCTTCACAAACACGCAGCTAACTGTGCAGATGGCACTCAAGATTTATCCTAGTGAAATGAAGTCTATGATTTTCTTACAAACCCACAAAGACACAGAAAAACAGATTCATAACTCACAGATGGGGATTGATTGACTACTTACTTACTTTGTCATTAAGCCGAGAGAAGTCAGTGTATCTTCTGAAAACCACCCAGCTTTCTTCTGGGCTTTTCTTTACTAGTATTTTATATACCTAGAAAGGGAGAGGTTGATAGGGTAAGAAGAGAAAAAAAAAGAGGGTACACAAAGAAAGAGGTCAGTCATTTCTAGAAAACCTCATTTGATGCATCAAGCAATTTTTATGCAAGAAATATGAAGTCATTCAGGTAACCAAATATATGGAGATGGGGACAATTCTTAAAAGCATGACCAAGACAAAACGCCATGGCACGCGTGTAGACACCAGACAGCAACACCCAGGGCTTTATTTCTCCTTTTCTACCTTGTAGGTCCCGGGGATGAACTAAGGCCATCAGATCTGGTGGCAAGCACTTTTACTCAGAGCCATCTCACCAGCGTGGTTCTACCTCTAAGTAGCGTCATCGTGGAGGCGAGGCTTCATAGGTGGACAAAAACACTCACACCCTAGCAGAATCTTGGTGAGTACACATTCTTTCACAAGATGGGCAGGTCAACATAGCTAACAGTCATTAGGCTGTAACTGGTGAGACGTTCTGAATGGTGGTTTTCATGCAGATTCACACCTTATCCCAGTGGTGTGATAACCACATCTTATGCTAGCAGATTGTTTCTTCGGAAATAATGTCGACTGTTTTTCTCGGAGGTTCTCTCCTCCAGGCATAAGTTAAAAGCATGAACCAACAGAGTAAACATAAAAACTTGACTGCGAGAAAACCCCAAAACAAACTGTTTGATCTAATGTAACTTTAGCAGAGTTAATGATAAACACGTACAGGCCAACATGCATAAATACGCAATATTAAAGTATATGAACTTGGCTGGGTGTCGTGGCCCACGCCTACAATCCCAACACTCGGGAGGCGGAGGCAGGCAGGTTTATACGGTTGCAAGGCCAGCCTGGCCTACGCAGTGAGTTCCAGGGACACCAGGACTACACAGAGAAACCCCATCTCAAAATACCAAAAAGGAAACAAACAACATCAACAACAGAAAATCCAGAAAAATTAAAGCTGGACAGATTTTTTTTAAAGGTAGTTAAAAAAACTATAAAACAAATGAATATAGATCTCATCTGAGAGTATTAAACAGCTACACCAGACAAATCTGTCTACAAGACCTGTACCGGCAACTACGAATGTTATTAGGAAGCATTAAAGACTGAAGTCAATGGGTTCATCAGACATGTGAAGATGAAGGTTTCTACCAGCTGATCTGTGCACGGGGCAGAGAACAGCAAAGGCCATCCTCAGAAACCACAGCTATTGGGTATCAAGACCTATTGAACACAGTACTTATCTATTAAACACTGTAGAAAAGACAGAAAAATGGAGCATAGAAGGAGATTCACCTTTGTGAAGTATGTCATAGGCAACACTGGAAATGAAGATAGCTTTTACAAAAACAGCCTGATTAAGAGATTCCACAGAAAAAAATAAATGGCAGGAATCACTCCTGGATGGTCTGCTGTTAAACAAACGTGAAAGGCCTAACTCAAAAGTGTTGGACAAAAACATGGACACAACACGTTTTCAACATTAGAGGAGGCAAAGATAATAAAAAAAAAAATGCCAGGCAGAGCCAGGTGTAGTAGAAATGCCCTGACCCTAGCATTTGAGGAGCAGCCTCCATTACACAGTGAGACACCATCTCAAAAAAAGAAACGAGAGGGAAAAGAGAAAGGGGTATGTAGTAGTAAGGAGAGAGAACACCACACTGGGCATGTTATGGCTATGTCTAGTGCATGCACCAAGGGCAGACAAGGACAATCACAACACACACGCTTGAAAAAGGACTTGTGTGTGTAGAATGTAGAAAACCGCAAAACAGGTATGAACAAGGGCATGTGTAAGAGACTATCCAAACGGTAAAAAGGTTTTGATTTCTTTGTTTTTGCAACAGGGTTTCTCAGTGTAGCCCTGGCAGTCCTGGAACTCGCTCTATAGGCCAGACTGGCCTCTAACTTAAAGAGACCCACCCGCCTCTTTCTCCCAAGTGCTGGGATTAAAGGTGTGTACCACCATTTTCCAGGAGGTCAATCTTGGTGTGCAGCAGAAGCCGATACTTACAGTAAATTTGGCTCGCTCTTCCATGACTTCGTAGCCTAGAATTGTAGGCGTAGAAGGCCTCTCTTCCCAATTCACTGTGTCAGGGTGCTGATCTTCAGTGTCTCTTGGTCTAGTAGAATATTCAATGGCTGAATCTGCACCTGTAAATTTAGTCCTAATGAGGGGACTGCCACAGGCCGATGATGTACTACTGTCCATCCGATCCTGAATACTCGTCTGCTTAAAATTACCCATATTCGAGTCTTCTAGCTGGCCTTTGGAAGAGTTTGAGCTGGAGACACTACCAAAGGAAGAACTCCTTTGGTTTCTGTTGGATGTAAAACTGGAAGCAGAGTTTCCTATTGGCATAGGAACTGGGACGTAAGGGGTTGCCATCTTCTTTGGCCTTGGCAACAAACCTTTGACTCCAAACACTTAAAGAACAACCAATCTGCAGTTCATTATTTTCTTCTTAGGAATTCACTATCTAAAAATGAGAAGGAAATATTGAATGGTTAGTCTTCTACCCAGAACATAATAAAAAAAACCACAATGTTCTTTTTAACTCGTGACACTCAATTATTTTGTGAAGACAGATTTCTAACACCTTCCTTTAATTTGAATTGTCTCTGTGAACTCTTGTTTGCAAGGTAAAGAGAACAAACTTACTCTACCTCTTTTCTTAACACTCATAATACGAGCTTTCTTTTTTTGCCTACTTTAATTCCTTTATTTTTGCAACATTCATTTCAGATGGACTTAATCCTAACATAAGCACAAACATATTCCCCTCAAAAGAGGAAAAATAAAAAAAGTTTTGTCATCCTGATCGTACTATAGGAACAGTAGTACAGCAAGCCATTCATATTCATATTGTCATTTTATATACCAAGTACTTAAATATGCTGATCATAGTCAATCAGAAACATAGGTCATATGTATTAAGTGTTCTTTTATTTTGGAAGAGATCTGCAAATAATAGGTACTCTACCTCTCTCTCTTTTTTCTTTTTTTTTTAAAAAAAATGCTTTTAATTTTTAGACGAAGTCTCGGTAACTTACCAAGGTGGTGCCTGTGACCTTGCTAAGTAGCACAGATAGGCTCGAACTTCTTCTGATCTGGCTGCAGCCTCCAAAGTCGCTGGGAAGCACACCTGTACCACCAAGGCAGCAACAACCGCTCTGAAAATAACATTTATAAAACTTAGCATCAGATATATTCCAAAACTAAATTTGATCAAGTTAATGAATTTTGATCAAGATTTACAGTCAACAAAATCAAGTGGTTAAAATTTCGTTTTCGTTTCTGGATGATTAATTCCCAATAACCCAGGGTCCGGAAAGGTTATTTCTGTGTTAGGATAAATTCTGTACTGGCCATCGTTAGTTTATTAAGCAATAAACTCTAGAACTTCAAGTACCAACCACTAGAAATGGCACTACAACAGGGGATCTAGCACCAGCACCAACTTCATTTTCTCAACTCTCCTGCCCTCGGCAAGACGCTGAAACAAGTGGTTTTTTTCCCCCCAAACCTCACGTGGTGGGCAGCGAACCTTCCTTTACAACCGAATATTCAAGAAACTTGAGCTGATGATTCACCTCGGGCGTTCTCTGGATGCAACCCCCACCCCCTCATGCCCCAGGGGAGGGGAGAAGAGAGTGTGTGTGCACCACTGACTTCTCAGCGTCCCGGGCTGCCCCGGGCGGCCTCAGCGTGCACCGGGGAGCTGCACCCGCGAGCTCGAGCTGCGGGCTGCAAGGGGCGCGCGTGCGGAGGGCGTGTCGCGTCGCTCCGCCGGGGACGCCCGCCCGCCCGCCCGCCGCGTGTCCTGCTCCGTGGAGGAGGCTGCTCCGACGCTAGCTGGCCGGCACCGGCACGGGTGACAGCAGGCTGGCGGGGCGCTGTGGTCGGCGGACCCGCGCGCGACCCTCAGGCCCGGCCCGCTGGGCTCGGCTCGGTTCGGCTGGAATCGGCCCGGCTCGGCTGAGCTCGGCTCGGTTCGGCTGGGCTCGGCCCGGCTCGGCGCCTCCAGCCCTCGGGGCGACCGAAGGTCAGGGGCCGGCGGGGCCCTGCAGCGTCCCCGCTCCTACCTCTGCGCGCAGCGCCGCGCCCGCTCTCCGGTGCACGCGGGCGGCTCCTCTCCGACCGCGCCGGGACGCCGCGCGGCAGCTTCCGCCCCGCAAGCAGCCGCTCTGCCTCGGCTCGGCCGCCCAGCCCGGTTCCCGCGAACCCGAAGGGGGAGGAGCCGCTCCAGGAAGTGACGTCACGCAGCGCCTCCCGCCTCCTCTTCTCCCCCCCCCCCCAGCCCCGGAAACTCGCACAAGAGTCGTTGGTTCCCGTCTCTGCAGCAGCCAGAGCAAATCTGATTTCCTCGCAGGGGGATCGATAGTTATTCCACGCCCCCTCCACACGGACTTTAATGATTAAAAGTGGCTTTCTAAGAAATGGGGCCACTATATGTGGTTTGCCAAGTGGGGGGGGGCGCGACACAAAGACTTCAATTCCCAGGAGGCACTGGGCGTATCCTAGGTTCAGGCGCGAGCTTTGCATCATGGGATTTGTAGTTATCACCGTCTTTGGGGTAGTGGGGGGGGGGCTCTAAAAGGTTATTAGTCATTTTGCACAATTGGCAGCTTTTTGATGGATGAAAATTGATTTGAAAAATAGGCAGGTAAAACAAGATTTCGTTGTGTATTCGTCCCATGTAATTCAGGACTTTTCTCTGGCAAAGATTTCTGCATTCCTTTAGTAATTTATCCCAACAATATTGGGCTGCCTGCTTAAGTCTGCTTATTTGAAAGCTATAACGATAATGTTTCGCTAACACTATTATTTGGTGTTACACATCAAACTCTACAGAACTACTTATCAGTAGAATTGTGATTTAAAGATCATTTCACAGTTTCTAGGGCTTTGGAGCAATATCAAGTGAATTGGAGGAAAAAAATAAATAAAAGGGAAAAAGAAACATGTATGCTCCTAGGCGTGGTGGAGGGGAAGGCTTATTGTAGATTTGTGGGAGAGCAGAGGTAGAGGCAGACACACGGTCATTCGGGAGAGGCTACTCTGGTCATGACTGGACTGGGCTGTGCTCTGTGGGGGAGAGAGGAAGGGGAAGGGAGAGCAGAGAAGGGACCCAGGTGTAGATCCAGGAAGCCAAACGTACAAGAAGGAGCAGGGTAATCAAATGTCTGGATTATGTAGGGAATAGCAGCTCAACCTGCTTGGCTGGTGAGTTCAGGACAGGGGGCCAGGTATGACAGCCAGGGGGTCCCTGGAACAGGGCTGAGGGATGCTGGGAGAACCTGTCAGCCAGGCCAGCTTTGATGAGTTAAACAGGTGTATCAGTCAGGGGTCCCAGAACTTACTGAATGAATCTCTCTCTCCCTCTCTCTCTGGGAATTTATTGGAATGACTTACATTCTAACAATGGCTAGTTATTAATGGAAAGTTCAAGAATCTAGTAGCTGCTCAGTCCCATGAGGCTGGGTGTCTCAGCTGTCCTGCTGGAATCTTGAAGAAGGAATGGGTGTGTTGATGGGGGTGAGGTCAAGCAGGCAAAGCACAAAACCTTCCTTCTTCCGTTGTCCTTACCTAGGCTTCCAACACAAGGTGTGGCCCAGATTAAAGGTGTGCCTTCCAGCCTGCAGGTCTGTATTAAAGGCCCACGCCATCCAGCTTCAAGGACTGGAGCAAAGGCATGTTGTCTTTCTGGATAAAGGATGATAATATGCCTGATCTGCATACACGTGTACAAGCATCTTCATGTGCCCACACATGCGTGAACACATATGCAAACATGACACAAAACAAACACAGATAATGATTTAAATGTGTGATTTCAAATTAAAGTGAGGTACATCATAATGGGACATTATTAGTCCATCCCATTGAAGCCTCTGTACAGCAAGCTGATGTTTATAATGCAGGAAAACAATTCCTCAGTAATTTATTAGTTTAAAAAAAAACCACGAAATAAACCCCATTAAGTTTTAAAAACTCAATCGCCCGATTTGTGCGTGTTCTCCGTAGGTGGCATTGGAGTAATCTTGCTGTTTGGGATCTGTACTGTGCTTGTCGTCCTTTGTAACTGTCTGACATCGGGAGTCTAGGGAAAGAACCACGGATGATCTCTTCCTGGAGCTCTGGGAGGTCAGCCATGCAGCAGCAGAGCACAGATCTGAGACATCTGTGACCTCTGCAGCCTTTTACACCCAGAGCGACAGTCGTTTGAGACTAGTGATGGCCCAGAGATGACAGCTGCCATTGGTTATTTCTCATGCAGTGTGGACATCCTGCTGGGAGCGCGCACATCAAAGGGACACAGATTTCCCCCCAAAGTCAGAGTCATAGCCTTGGACCCCGAGAACACGAATGCTATCGGCGAGGAAGAGCCTCTGTTTCACGGAGAAGGACCCTGGCTGTTTTCTTCAGCTCAGACAGCCAACTCACGCTTCCTCCTTCTCCCCAAGCGGCTACCCTCTACCCTTGTTAGGTGCCTTTGACTGTCCAGCGGTTAGCTTCTGCTACCTTTTCCCAATAGTACCTGACACCTGGGAGATTTCCACGCACTTTATGTGTAAGGACGGTCTCCGCACTGCGCCTTCAGGGGTGAGCAGGAATTGTTAAAGGAGGTCTCTTTACAGGTAGTAAAGAGCTTCAGAGAGGACACAGTGCCCAGTGTAAGGTATGGAGGGAGGGTTAGGGGCTAGGGACAGCCCTGTGGGACTGAAAGGTGTTTGTAGGGTGTCACTCGACACGGAGATGAGCTTCTGACCGTCCTTCAGACGACCTCAAATGTGACCTTATGGAATTCAGGAAGCCACCCTCTATTATCCTAACGTTCTTGCTTCATGAATGGGGGCCAACATCATATTATATCATAGGTGCTTACTGGCTCAGCATGGGGGACTGGACTAAGTATTAGGTATCTATCTGCCCACAGAGCTTTAATATCAAATAAGAATACACACATACACATATGTATAAACACACACACATATATATATCTGGTTCTTTATCCACATTTTCACGAGATCATTTTAGATATTTGTGCTCCTAGTTCTACTTTGCAAAACAAATTCTAAATACTTTTCAGAGACCTATGAGCTCCAACCTGTTTATATTATCCCCAGAGCAATCAGTCACCTAATCATTAGTCAATTACTTACTGGAAACCCGCCACAGGGAATGCACCTCAAAGGCCAGCTGCACCCACTATTTGACACTCTGAGTGCTCAAGTCTTTCTCTTTGTATGATTTTTTTCTGATGCTTTTGCCTCGGACTTTCCTGTGTCCTGCACCCCAGTTAAGGGGCCTAGCCTTAGGCCAGTCACTTACACCCATGCCCACATTCCTTTTGACAAACCCCCATGTGGCTTTGCCCTCATCCTCACCAAATGGGATCATCTCTGTGTCAGCCTCTGGGCAAGAAAGATGCATTTTCTTCTCCATTGGTTGACAGAACATCCTACTAAGT